AATGATAATCGGGGTTCTGATTGGAATCTTACATTCCAATCTCATAGTAATTATACTAGTATAGATTGGAATCTATGCCAAATTCTATTATTAAGTAAAACGTGATCCAATAGTTGGAATTCTAGTTTATCTTCATTCATTTCCAGTTACACTCGTATTGTTAATTATAATATAGGATGGCCTTGGAATCTTACGCTCCAATCTCATAGTAATTATACTAGCATGGATTGGAATCTATGCCAAATTCTATTAAGTAAAATGTGATCTCATAGTTGGAATTCTAGTTTATCTTCATTCATTTCCAGTTACACTCGTATTGTTAATTATACTCTGGGATCGCATTGGAATCTTACGTTCCAATCTCATAGTAAATACACTAGCATGGATTCGAATCTATGCCATATTCTCTCATTTAGTAAAATGTGACGTAATAGTAAGTTCTAGTTTATCTTACTATCTACAGAAAAATCAGACAGTTTGCAAATTACAAATATGTTTTCCGTAATATATTTGCATACGCTTGGCAATATGGGGAAGGTTGAAGGTAGTAGAAACTAGAAATATTGTATAATTAATTACTGGTCCCTCTCTCAATAAATAATAACTGTCTTGTGAAAGGAAATTTTTTCAGTGCAATTTCTACTTTAACAAATTCTAATATTTTCAGCATGGAAATATAGTATTTGAGTTAATTTTAACACTGTACACCAGGAGTGGACAGATAAGTCTTGAAAAACGCCTGGATGAACCAGTGCTATTTGCTTATTCCCACCAGCAACATAAACTTGCATAATGCAAAATTATGCATGTGTACACTGCCTACATACATCTATATTCTGATATGAACAGAATTGGTTTGTAATATTTGTGGTTTGTTCTATTACACCGCCATTTTGAGCGTGTTTGTTGCTGTACGATAGACTTGTTCTAGCTAATTTGAATAGCACTCGGGATTGGCGAGATTGGTCAATCTGGCTAGTATAAATACTGCACCTGCCGACCAATCTGAGAGTTATTATACTACGCAAGATTCTGCGTACCGCCTGGTTTTTTCTGGTGAAAAAAACCTGGTTTTTTCTGGTGAAAAAACTGTTGGCAAACAAATCCAAGGCAATGGCTTGCCCCGTAAAGGGTTTATTTCGGCATACAACGTTGAAAAAGGGGGGAAGGGAGAAAATGTTGCCTTTCCAGGCTAAACAGTCCAATATTTATGTTGCTGATTGTCCGAGTATTTTATTGCGTTATCCGCGGGCACTTAAAAGACTGTAACTTTAAAACCAAGCATTGTAACTTAATTAAATTTTTAGCAAGTATTAAGAAGCAATTAAGCTAATTAAACATCGAATAAATTCGAATTTTAATTATATTGCATGACAATATTTTCATTTCAACGTACAAACATGACACAAATTCATGACTTAACCCCAGAGCAACGAGCTTTAGCACTCTTATTAAGGCGCAAATTCAAATATTCTTATCGTGAAATTGCTTTAGAAACAAACATGTCAAAGTCAAGTGTGCTTAGAGTCATTAAAAGCTTTGAAATGAAAAAAAAGGTAGCGATAAGTTAAAAAAGTCTCGCCAAGGTCGAAAAAGAACATTAATGCAACAAGATGAACATAAACTGAAGAGAACAATTATGCAACTCCACGAAAGAAGTCCAAACTGCACAGTTATGAAGGTAGTTCAATGTAGCGGCATTTCACCAACAAGCGTGACTTACAGAACATTTCTTCGGGATGTGGAACTGCTAGGATATGGATATTATCACAGGCGAAAGAAAGGTGTTCTTACGAATAAAGATTTAAAAATACGCCGAAAATTTGTGTGAACCATGGCAACCAAACATGAAGATTATTGGACGTCAGATGTAGCTTTCTATTTGGATGGTGTTTCCTTCATTTACAAAAGCAATCCACTGAGTGACCTGCTCAAACCGAAAAACCGTGTTTGGCGGAAAGAAGCAAAGGATTGCTATCAACTACCAAAGGCAGTAAAGAACTTCCTGGCGGTAAACGATTGCATTTGCTTGTAGCTATGGCATATGAGCACGGTGTTATTTGCACAGAACCATATGTAAAGATGGACGGCCCATATTTTGCACGCTTTATACACTGTCATTTCCCCATTCTATTTGAAATTACAAAAAACGATAATACCAAACCGAAATTATTTGTAATGGATAATGATCCTTCACAGACCTCTGCTGCTGCGAAAAAAGCTTTAAAATCTATTGCAGCTAACATGCAAGTTATTCCAGCCAGATCACCTGACTTGAATCCGATTGAAAATTTATTCCATATTGTTCGAAAAAGAATCGAAGCAGAAATCTTGCAGAAGAACATTATACACCAGTCCTGGGATGAATTTGTCGAAAGAGTTAAGCTGAACATTTGGTCTGGCTCACAAGAATATGTAGATAAGACAATTGCAAGTATGCCAAGGAGAATTAAAGATATTCTTAAACTTAAGGAAAAACGAACAAAATATTAGCTACTGATTAGATATAAGTCCCGGCCGCTATAATTCCTCAATGCATTACTGTTGTATTACGTATGATAGTGCTAAGGCAAGCCTAATTAAAACAGTCATTAAAAATTGCGTATATATATATATATATATAAATATATATATATATATATATATATTTTATATATATATATATATATAACATATATATAAACATATATGTATATATATAATATATTATTATATATATATATATATTACTGGGTGTCCCAGAAAAAAGTACTCCGGTTTGATTCATAATAGCTTCTAAAGTAGCTAAGCTATTAAACTGAAATAACTTTCACTAGATAGAGGGAAGACTAACTTAGATTTTGATATATTACAGTTGTATTTTACTTTAAAATATACGGAGATATCAATGTTCAAAATTGGTAGCATATTTCTGGAGGTGTCTAAATTATGCAAAAAACGCCGTATCAAATGTTAATCAATATAATTTAGACACATCCAGAAATATGCTACCAATTTTGAACATTGATATCTCCGTAAATTTTAAAGTAAAATACAACTGTAATAAATCAAAATCTAAGTTAGTCTTCCCTCTATCTAGTGAAAGTTATTTCAGTTTAATAGCTTAGCTAGTTTAGAAGCTATTAATAATCAAACCGGAGTACTTTTTTCTGGGACACCCGGTATATAAATATATATATATATATATATATATATTATATATATATATATATATATATATATACATATACATATACATATACATATACATATACATATACATATACATATACATATACATATACATATACATATACATATACATATACATATACATATACATATATATATATATATATATATATATATATATATATATTTTGCAAAGCAATTTTGTAACTTAATTTTGATATTCGTTCACCGTGAAGCGATTAGACAACAGCAATTTACTGATACCATATAAACTTCTCTTTAATTCTCGGGCAACGTAAATATGTGTTGCTACTTACACTTTAATGGCTTAACTTGCTTTCAAGCTTATTGAACGTGCACTTTAACTTACTTAACTTAACGTTCGTTACTGTCAAGCAACGTGAACAACAAAAAATATATATAAGTGTGTTGCGACATATACCTAACCTATGCATGCATGATTAACCGCTTAATTATGCATAAAATTAAACCTAACGTATAATTATACGTGGCGGTCACACTCCCCCACGGAAATCTCTTGATTTGTATGAATTCGTATCCATAATAATTGTTTGTTAATGTTCCTTTGGTACTAAAAGTACTACTTTTTGAATTGGTCTGTCTAGAATTGATTGAGTTCCAAATCTTTTCCCTTTGTTAGAAAGTAAGGCGTCTCCAATAGCGAGTTTTACACTTCGAACAAAGTCAATCTCGTCTGGATATGTTTCTACTATTCTTCCAAGTTTCCATTTATTTCAGATTGTGTTGTCGTCTTTCAACAGGACGATGTCTCCGACTTGAAGATTGCGCAGAGGTTTACTCCATTTTGGTCTCTTTTGCAGGTTTTGAAGAAACTCCTTCTTCCATCGTATCCAAAATGCGTTCGCTAGGTGTTGAATTCTTCTCCATTATTTCTTCGAGTACTTGTCGTCGGACTGAAAGGTGCCTGGTGGTGGTAATACTATCTTTGTTTTCATTGTGAGTAGATGATTTGGTGTCAGAGGGGATAATGATTCCGGGTCGTTCAAATTGTCTACTGTTAGAGGACGGCAGTTCACAATGGATTCAACTTCACAGATTAAAGTGCGAAATGCTTCATCGTCCAGGCAAGTTCCATTCTTCTGCATTAAGGAATCTAACACATTTCGAACAGTCTTAACTTGACGCTCCCAGACTCCTCCCATATGGCTTGCTTTCAGGATGTTCGTTCTGAACTCGATCCAGTCGCAATTCAATTTAAGAGCTTCACCGCGAATTTTATCTTGATCCATTTCTTCTAATGCTTCTCGTAACTTCTTTTGAGGACCAACAAAGTTAGTACCTTGGTCACTTCTAATCTGACGTATCGGAGCTCTTCGACAAATAAAACGACGTAACGCTTGTATGAAGGAATCTGTCTCCAAAGTGTAAGAAACTTCCAAATGTATCGCTCTAGAGGCCATGCATGTGAAAAGTGCAACATAACGTTTAAGTTCCTTGCGTCGTTCTTTAATGTACCACGGTCCACAATAGTCAACAGCGCAATAGGTAAATGGGGGTGCTGGTTCCAATCTATCTTCAGGTAGGTCAGACATGAATTGGTCTTGTACAGTTCCTCTCAATTTTCAACATGATACACACTTTGAGATAAGGTGTGCGACAACAGAAGAGCCACCAATGATCCAAAGACCGTTGCTTCTGATTTCATTGAGTGTAAAAACACGTCCTTGGTGTTCCACTATTTCGTGATAGCGGTTTATGATCAACTGAGTAACATGTCCGTTCTTTGGAAGTATCACGGGAAATTTAACGTCGGGAAGAAGTGTTGCACGCTGGATACAACCACTGACTCATAAAACACCATCCGAATCTTTAAAGGGGTTAAGACGATAAAGCGGACTCGACTTTGGCACCATCTGGTTTGAAGATAAATCAGCTCTGCGACCTTGATAAGCATTTTTATCTGTCTTCATCTTTAAAATTTCAACATCTGTCGGAAAGTGAATAGTTTGCACGGACTTGTATATCTCGATTTCAGCTTGCCGTAAATCTTCTGTCATCACAGGTGCTATACTACGAGACTTTCTTTCGTCTTGGTTATTGAGATCAATGTTCACTTTCGATCTCTTTGACTTGATTCTCTCCAAGAGTTTCTGTCGATAGCGAAGACAAGCTGCAACGGCTAATTTTGCGCGATGCCAGTTCGAAAAATATTCAAGAGCCTTTGCAAGACTCCACGATTCTTCGGTACTTATGGCATAACACGAGGTTTTCTTGATTTCGGGATCTTCTGGCGAGATATCCAGCACCTTTTGTGGCAACCAATCTTCCTCAGAATTCCATGAGAATTCTGGTCCCATGATCCACCTTGGGTTCTTCAACATCTGTTTGGGGGTAAGACCGTGCGATCCGTCATCAGCAGGATTAGAACTCGTGTTGATATATCTCCACTGATCTTTCGAGGTTTGGCTTCGAATCTGTTGAACACGGTTAGCAACGTATACATGGAATGTTTTGGTGTCATTTCCAATATATCCGAGAATAATCTGACTGTCTGTCCAAAACAATTCTTTTGTGATGCTATATTCCAGCTCTTCCTTTATCACTTCGCTTACTTTAACAGAGACCACCGCTGCTGTCAACTCTAGACGTGGAATAGTAATTGGTTTGACAGGAGTCACTCTTGCTTTACCCATAACCAACGAGCAATGTATCTTGCATTGGGCGTTCTTTAATCGAAGGTATGAGCATTGGCTATATCCAACAGTGTTTGCGTCTGAAAAGTGGTGGAGTTCTGCAGAGGTCACTTCGCCAAAATCAACTGGTTTGTAACATCTGGGGATGGACAATTCATTCAGACAGTGCAACTCCTTTCGCCATCTCTCCCATTGCATCTTTATGCTGTCAGGAATTTCATCATCCCAGTCTAGCTTGTCACGACATAGATTCTGCAGTATCCTCTTTCCTGTCAGAATGATGGGTGCCACGAAGCCCATTGGATCATAAATTGAGCTGACCGTGGCCAGGATCCCTCTTCTTGTCAAAGGTCGATCTTGCAGCAGGATACGAAATTCAAAGCTGTCAACCTCAATGCACCACTGAATGCCTAGCACTCTCTCAACTGGCAAGACGTCAAGATCAAGATTCTTCACTGTTTTGGCTCGATCTTCTTCTGGAATTTCTTTAATCACTTCTTTCTTGTTGCTGACGAATTTATGTAGATTAAATCCACCATGACTGCACATTTCTTTAGTCTGGCTTATTAAGCTTATGGCTTCGTCAATGGAAGGAACGGATTTGAGACCATCATCGACGTAGAAATTCTTTCTCAGGAACTCGGCTGCTCTTTCGCCAATGTCTCTTTCATTGTCGTCGGCTGTTTGTTTCAGCGCAAAATTGGAGCAACCTGGTGAAGATGCAGCGCCAAATAGATGAACAGTCAT